TTGGGGGCTCAGAATTCAACCCATAACACATTTTAATATTGGTAGAGGCAAATTATATACCAATGTCTTCTGATGTTACATACCATATTTAACTGTGATGTTAATTAAAAAATTAAACAATTTTTTTTAATCTCTGAAATTAGGATGCATCCTACATCCATAGTCTTAGGTATGGTGAAATGTGGTCGTTTGGATTGCCTGCCATTTTGAGTAATGCTTACTGGAGCTTTGTGCTCAGAGGTGTATGTTACCTTGAACTCCAGTTCTCCTGTCTCCTTCCCATTCCTTAGATTACTGAGCTGCTGCTACATGTAATGAAGGAACAAAAAATAAAATCAATTTTCTTAGCAGCCTGCTCTGGAAGAAACCACTTGTGAATCCATATGGCAGCGAGCATGAGATGTTTTGTTCTTGGATGACTCACTCAGCCAGGTGACTGCAATGGAAGATCAGGCATGGCCTGAGTCACCCGGTGTCCCCGTGGACCTAATTGGGAAGTGACCAGTCAAGGGTCAGCGGCAGGGCTGGGGACCCAGGCCAGAACTCCTCTCTAGGAGAGAGGAAGATAATCTATAGTATACGCAGTGTGCATCATCCTCCCTTCCCACTAAACACCTCTCCACTTGACTTAGCACTCTCCTGGAATTCCATGGCCTCACTAGGGTGGCCCGTTCCCGCTTTCTGACATCCTGTCTCATTGGACAGCACGTCCTCAAAATAGCTCTCATTGACGCACTATGACTTCCGCTTGTTCCCCTCCCTTCCTTGTTCCCCTGCTTTTTTCCCTCCATTTTTCCCATCCTTTGTCTCTCTTCTGGTTCTGTGAATTGGGCTGATGTGCCAAACCACAGCCTTTCCTTCTGCTGTCCAGGCAAACTTTCTGGCAGTCTCGTCTAGCTTTTCTAATGGGCCTCCTCCTCCCTGCCAGCCCTCCTAGGTTGGATTTTTGAACACTAATCTTCCTGACTCCGTTTAGAAGTTAGATCTGACAGTTGATCATTTTACGCTCATCTGGTGCTTTCCGGCTCCGTGCTCCCACCGCCGCCCCGTTCAGGGCACGCTTAGCGGTGTGTATCGTGCAAAACATCCACCTGCCTTAAACAGCTGGGGAGTCAGGGTAAAACAGAGAGGACAAACACAATAGCAATGAGAGCTACGGGGGCATCAGCTGCCTGTAGTGAGCCCTTCCTGTGTGCCCGCCCTTTGGGCCCAGAGTTTGACAGGGATCGGTTCATTGAATCCCTACAGCCACCCTGTGAGGACCAGGGCCAAACCACCTTGTTTCCTGGCTCTGGCTAAACCGTGGGAGGAAATGGGTGGTGAGGGTGGCTAATTCTTTTCAATGACAAAAGTTCTGATGAGGATCACCCCTTTTCCAGCGGGGCTTAGTCTGGGCCCTTGAGGCTAAGCAGGAACATAGCCTTATGAATGACTGGAAACAGAAGCCCAAACTCCTTCCACATGTTCAGGAGGGAGGGGTGGCCTCAGAGCTGCAGCTCACTGAATCGGCACAGTCCAGGCACAGAGACTTCTGATGAGTCAGTCCCTTTTAGCCACTGCAATCCAGGGAACCTGCCCTTGGTGGCAGGTCTTGGTGGGGGTTATCGTGGGAGGAGATGGCTGGTTCTCACGAAACCAACCTGTGATTCACTGTGAGAGGAGGTAAAGGGAACTGGCTGACACGACTCCCTAAAGAACAAATCCCAGCAGCTTGTCTCATCCTCTGGGGTCAGGGGCCGCCCATTCACTGGGAGGGGGTCTGCTGTTATTTATTTCCCATCTGGCAAGGCGTTCTATTGTGGCTACAAGTCAAGGACTCATAGGCAAATAAATGCTAATTTGCGAATGAATGGATGGAAAAACGGAGAGGCACAGAAAAGGTTTGCAGAGAGAATTTGATGTGCTCATACCTCCCATGGTCCTCTCTTCTAACTCTTCCCAGACATCTCCTTGTGCGTCTGCTCCTCCCCACCCCCAGCGAAAGTCGATGGCATTTATGTCCAGAATTACCCCCCTGGATGCTGATTCCCATGGAAACTTCAAGGTGGGAGGCAGAGACCTAAAATAGTTCAGGCTCTGCTCCTCTCAGAGCTCTTTCAGTAAGGCAGTAAGGGGGGGCTATGCTCACATCTGGCTGGGAAAAGAGCCACTGGGAGCTGAGAATGGCCAGGCGGCCCTTGCGGGGCGGGGTGGGGGGTGCGGGGAGGGGCCTACTGGGTGCGTCGTGGAATCTGAACCGTGAGGCCTTCTGAAGCCGACAGCTCTGGGAAGATGGGATACCTTTCTTCCATTATAGATAGACAGCGCCTGGCTGAGGGCTGCCCCAACACAGAGGTGGCCTTGGAACCTTAGAGCCAGGCCGCGAACCGCGGCCATAATTCCCCACCTCACAGTCCTTACGCTCGCTCGGTAAGGGTGTAGTCACGTCAGAGGCTGTGGCCCAGGGGTTATTGCTCATGGGCTGGTAGCAACACCCCACTTGCAGAATTGTGCAGTTGGGAAAGGCCTTTGAAATGAGACAGACTCAAGCTCTGAGGAAGTTTGGGGCTTCCAGGATTCCACATACGATTCTGGTGTTTTTAGGAGAACAATGAAAGTTTAAATTGTCAGAGGAACAGTTTCAACCCATTTGCATGTCTTATATTGGAATTCCATGCATAATTTGGAGACATGAGCTCGGTTGCTTAAAAAACAAAACAAAACTGACCTATTCCAATGCCTCTTCATTTGCTCCAATATATATTTATGGAGCATCTGCTTTGAGCAAGGACTGGGGCTCTCCTGGGTTGGCCTGGGCTGGGCAGGGCAGGCCTCATGGGGCTTAAAATCTATTGGGTGGCAGTGTTAAGACAGATAGACGAGTAATTGTAATATGTTAGGAATTGTCGAGCAAAGAGACTGGCTGAGAGGAGTTAAATGACTCGCCTAAGGCCTCATTAATAGTGGTGACTCGGTTAGGACAGCAGTCTATTGATTGGGCACCTACGCTTTCTGTTAGATTCCTCTGACCTCTAATCAGGCCCTGAGGTGTATATCATTAAGATGTAATGTTTAAAGAGCTAAAAGTATGATTACCGTACAAATGTAACGCGAACTTGTGTCAAAGGATTTAGTCAATTTAATTAATGAGGGAAGCAGTAGGATGTTAAGATTAGTTTCAAAGAAAATTCAGGGAAGGGAGGGGACCCTGGCTGGCTCAGTCAGTAGAGCGTGCCCACTCTTGATCTTGAGGCTGTGAGCTTAAGCTCCACGTTGGGTGGCAAGATTACTTAAAAAAAAAATCTCTAGAAAATTCAGGGAAGGGAAATTTATAGTCGGTCAGTCAGAAGAATGTTGAAATCAGTTATCTAACAGTTTTGAAATTGGTTAATGTTCTACAAGGCAATAAACCCTACCCTTCAGAGGTACCTTTGCTACCAAATTATTTGCATTGTTGTTGGACAAGAATCATATACACTGTTCTCATCAAGAATCATTTCCACTAAAAAAAAAAAAAAGAATCATTTCCACTGTTACTGGTTTTCTACAAGTTAACCTCTACCCTTACAGAGTTATAAAATATCCTTATCACTAGAAGTCAAACAATGGTATACACCCCTAGAAAATCAGGTAATCCATAAGTATGGTGGGTCTACTTGTCCACACCTTGCATTATTACATTGAAAGGACACCTGGTATTTCCTTTGCCTGTTTCCAAATTTTGGATAATTTTTCTTGACAGTAGTGTGTGTGTGTGTGTGTGTGTGTACACATTTTCTGGGTATGTTTTGTCTAGATGTTGGAAGGGAGTTCAGTCACACTATAGTAAAATGGACTGAGACATTCAGCTTGATGAGAAGTTTTGGGGGCACTGGAAAACACCCCATTTATTAGGCTGATTTCCCTAAAAACAAATTTGTTGGTCTTACCGGCTGGGGGCAAAGGGACCACTTTAAAAAATTGGATGAAGGGCCTGGATCATAAGGGGGAATGTATCTTCCTCAGTCTGTTCCTTATGTTGGAAAAGGCCTTCCTGGGGGCACTGCAGAAAAGGGGAGGTTCACCTGGCTGAGCCCAGGAAGCCTGAGCTGGGGGAAGAAGGGAGGATGAGAGCTTCTGTCTAAGTAAGTGCCTGGGGTTTGCTTCCTGGCTCAGCTTCTCTGGGTTATTTTGGTCCCTCTCTTTGTCTCTGCTCTTCCCCCCAGCTTTTTCTCTGTCCTTTGACAGTGTGAAGACTGTTCACATTTGAATGGCATTTTGTAATGTACCAAGTGCACAAATCCTGTGAGGTAGATATTACCGTTACATAAAGGTTAATGGAGTTGCTCAAGGTCACGATGCAGCTAGTAAAAAGAGCCTTCAGAATTCAAGTATGGGCCTTTCAGCTCCAATCCATGTCCTTCCAGCTTATCTTACTCAGGCTTTTCTGACATTTCTGGAGTTCTCCCTGGACCGTTCTACACCTTGACCGGAAGATATATGTATTGGGAAGCTTGAGCAGGTTTCCGAAGATTTGCTTTGTCTTGGCTGGCCAGTGGAACATTCCCCGCCCCCGCCCCCCCCCACCATATTTAGGCTGTGTGTTCATGTTAGCACATCAGGGCCTTGGATCCCCGTGTAGGGGCTGTGAAGCAATCACTAGAATAATTGGAGAGAGGGCACATCGCATTGTCCTGGGCCTCAGATTTTCCTATGCACAACATAGGTGTCAAACGAGTCATTAATTAAAACCTTTCCGTCAGTTATGAACTGACACTTAGGGTCCAGGGCTCAGCCTTGCTCCAGCACTTGTCATCACTGGGGCCTCATCAATGAGGGTGGTGATGAGTTTCTTCTGACCTTTCTCATTCTTTCTTCCTAACCATACAGCCTTTGGTTGGTGAAAGTCTGGGGTATGGTCAGACCTGCTGTGTGCATCTGAGAGCTATAGATCTGGGTGTTTGGGGATGTTGGGAAGGATGGGACAGGCCAGTTACCCTGTGCAGGCCAAGTGGGTGCTAATGCTTTTGTCTCTGTTGCAGTGTCCAACATCTGTACCACACGAGGTGTCCGCTCCTGCCAGCAATGTCTGGCTGTGAGTCCCGTGTGTGCCTGGTGCTCAGATGAGGTAAGGAGACATATGACCTTACTGCTTCCCCAGGCTCAGCTGCTTTTGTGCAGGAATGGACCCAGAGGGGCATCTCCTTCCTGTTAAATACACAAGCCCCTTGTTCCTTCTGAGTAAAGCTAGGGTGAAGCCTTCCCATTGATGGATGTCAAAGTGAGCTGTCATGGGGTCATTACTGGGAATGCCTTCCAGATTCTGCTGTGTGGCCCCCTAGCATGAGCCAATTTTGGTTAGGTTCCTGGTCTCACTGTAGCCATTGTCCCCCCTTACCACACTTTGCTTGCTTTTTGTTAGGGTGGAGCGCCCCAGGGAAGCAGGGCTTCGGGTATCAAAACGAGAGGCAGCAGAGGGTTCTTGGTATAGAAGGGATGCTGGCTTACAAACATTCCAGAGGGTTTTTTTTTTTTTAATTTTTAAAAGATTTTATTTATTTGAGAGAGAGAGATTGAGAGAATGACTGGGAGGAGGGGCAGAGGGAGACACGGACTCCCTGCAGAGCAGGGAGCCCGACGCAGGACTTGATCCTAGGACCCTGGGGTCATGACCTGAGCGGAAGGCAGATGCTTAACTGACTGAGCCACCCAGGCACCCACATCCCAGAGTTTTTAAAAGGCAAATGAAAGAGAAATCTTGAGCTTCTATGGCGGGGCAGGGGGTGTTCAGTCAGAGGCTCTCTTCCCTTTTCCCCTGTGAAGTTTGGGCCCCCACAACTTTACCTTTTCCTCTCTCTTTTACTTTCCTCCTTCCTTCCCTCTCTTAGGTGTCACTGAGAGAAGGTGCTGGGCCAATATGGTGAGGCTAGGAGGGTGATGGGAAGGGGTTAGCTGTGTCTAGGCAGAGGGTTTGTTGTGTCTGGGGCCCCAGGGAATGAGTGTGTCTGAGGGAATGGCTATGTTTGTGGCTGGGATGGGAATTTGGAGCTGGTGAGGGCCGGGGGGTGAGTGTGGCTGGAGAGATTCCAATGATTACAGAGTCTGAGGCAGAGTCATTGGCCAGGGCCCCCAGCAGGTGGTTACCTGCACTCCTGACCCAGGCTGCTTCCGGGCTACCTGAGGCGTCCTCTCCGTCACAACAGCACGTCTCTGCCCTCTGCAGTTTTAGGACTGCTCCAATCCAGCCTGCTCATTCTCTTTGCTTCTCTTCCCAATCTGCTGAGTTTCCTAAAAAGGCAACCTCCCTGGCAGGCTGGTGGGAGCGTGTGGTGTGTGTGTGTGGGGGGGGGGGCGGGGAGTGGGAGCTGGGAGGCTGTGTTTATCCCTGGACAGGAGGATTGCCAGGAGGCCAGCCCAACACACTACTCTGCCTCTGTACAGTTCAGCACGGGAACTGTTTCCAGAGGCAGCTGCCCAACATCTGGGCCACATTGACTTCATTTAGCAGATGAAACATTCCCTGGGGCTGGGAGTGAGGGGTGGGGAGGGGGTGGGTCAGTCCATCCCCTCTACCCCCACAGGTTCTCCACCCCTCTGGGCTGAGCTCGCTGCTCAAGTGTGAGGTGGCCTCCTCCCTTCTCAGTTGCCATACCCTCCTTCCCTTGGTTGCCATCATAATATCGTTAAGCTGCTTTTGTAAGGAAGCTGGAATTCTGCAACTGCATCCTCGAAGGAGGGAGAGCTTCTTGGATTGGATGGCCTGAAGCTGGCTGGAGCAGATGGGTAGCCAGGGGAGAAGGGTCACTCCTAGGACGCTCCCCATTCCTTTTCTCTCCTTTTCAACCCAGAGTGAGAGGAAAAGCAGGCAAGTGTGGCTGCGAGGAGTCTGGGGAAAAAGAAAACACACTCTTGGAGTGTCTGTCACACCTTTTGATTGGCACAGGGACCAGCCCTGTAGCTGAGGTATGTGGAGGCCCAACCAGACAAAGCCCATAGGTCATGTGACCAGATTTTGGAGAGGCAAGTGTAGAAGATTTATAGATGACCATGGTGTATTTTGTCTTCTGGGGCAGACCAGGGGAGGACATGGGGGAGAAGGTGCAGGGTAGGATCAAAGCATAGGGTGGGACCTGCCTCGGAGTGGTGGGGGAGGGGGTGGGTGAGTCAAAGAGGAAATGAGTGCATCATGGACCAAAGAAAACTGATGAGTAGAAGTAGAAGGTCCAATAAGATATTCTCTGGGAGCATGGAACATAAACAGGAAAGTGGGGGAAGCGACGAGTTTAGTGAATGACCACAACTATCTCTGGGAAAGGAGGAAGAGGGGAGGAGAGACAGAGGAGGAGCCCAGTGTGGGGCAAAGCGTGTCAGCCAGCCTCCTCTGGGGAGGACTGGGAGGTGGGAATCCTGGGCTGTAACCTGAACATGACCGCTGGTTTTTTGTTTTTTGGTTTTTTTGTTTTGTTTTTTCTTTTCCTGAGGGCTTCCTCTGCACAGGCCAAGTTTAATTGCTGAAAGTGTCTTGGCCATTGACTTAAAAAACCAGAAGTGAACTGCCTGGGCCATTTTGAATGTGACTTGTTGACAATTGACCCTAGAGGGCCCTCTACTTCTGCCTCCCCTACCGCGGCTGTTGCAGGCAGCTTTGGCAGTGCCTGGAAAAACAACTGGTTGGGCTCAGCTTTTCCTTGGTCCTAGAGGACAGCAGCTCTGGGTGTGTATAGCAAGTGCTTGGCCTGGTCATAGGAAAACATAGCCAAAGTGGATGAGTGCAGTTTTGGGCCCATCTGCATAGGGTGTGTTCTTGGGAGTGGGGGTGGGGTTACATACTGATATGGGGGGGTGGGTGTTGCCTCTGGGCTGTGAATGTAGTGAAGAGGCCAAGATTACACAGAGATTCAACTCATGGTCTTGGGCCTCACTGGTGCCATGTTAGAATCTAGAACCTTCCAAACTTGCCTGGTTGTAAGAATCACCTGGGGTGCTGGTTAAATAGAAAGGTTCCCAGGATGGATCCCAGACCTTTTGCATCGGAATGGGTTGTTATGATAGCAAGTTTGGCAAATACTGCTGATCAAAGGGGCTGATCTGGGGTCATGGTGGAAGGCGGTGGAGTTAAGGCAGCCAGATAAAGTATAGGACAACCAGTTAAACTTGAATGAAACAACAAATAATTTTTGATATAAGTATGTCCCAAATATTTACTAAATTTGGCGACTCTAAGATGGAGGGAAATACTAGGAATTCTTACATAGTCCTGAGTACACATCAGAAGGTGGACCAGCTCACACTTGGCCTGACAGCCAAGGATGAACAAAGAAGAATGGGTTTGGGTCTAGCCAAGTAGAAGACTCCAATAGGAGTGACTTATTTCTTCTCTGCATCTGTGGGGGACAGGTGTGGGGCCATTATTTAATTCCTTTTCAGTCACAACATAATTTTGTTCTCACTTCTCTGCTATTTTATCTTTCTATTTTTTTTAAATCCAGAGTTTAAGTGTTTATCTTGAGAGTTTTGCTCAACTTGTTATTGTAAAAATAAAAGTATAACATTGAAAGTGCTCCCTCCCATATACAAGAGGGTATGGATACCAATAACCATAAATCAAAGTGCTTTTCTTTCCTTCTCCTTCCTTCTGTCCCTTCCACACTTCTCTGTATGCTCTTGTGATTTCTTATCCTCACGGGATATCCATCAAGAAAACAATGTTAATTTATTTCGGTTGGAGGTTCTCTGGGGGAAAAATAAGTAGCAGACCCTATTGCCCTTTGTCCTCTGAGAAAAGAGTATGCAATAATCGTAGTAATTTTAATGGTAATGGTAGAAAAGAGTCACCTTCTATATGCATTTATTTGTTTATATCCTATCAAAAGGATTTGAGTATATTTCACTTACCTTGAGATTTTTCATATTTTGAAAGCATTTCATGTTCACAGTCTTATTTGACCCCCTGACTAAGACTGTGAGATACGTAGGATAATGACAGTTTTTCATGCTTTACTTTCCCAATGTCCAAAATGGAATGAATGAAGAATGGAACTAATAGCATGCATCACTCTCCCAGGAGAGGGAGGGGATTCAGCTCATATCATGCGTGGGCTGGAACCTCCCACCTCTGTGCTGAGGATCTTCCCCTGGGTCTTGGTTATTTCTGCCCTTTTTTGTGTCACATCCGGTTTCACTGGGAATTAGGACTTTAACATTCCTCCTCCCTCCTTCCAGTTGCTTCTCTGAGTAACCTAGAGACATTCCTCTACCTTCCCAGTCTGGGTTATTAAGAAAGGAAATGTTGCCCAAGTGTGTTGAGGTCACTGCCTTGGTATCCTTCTGGGACAGAAGGCTCTCAGGGAGAGCATGACTGAAGAGCAGGCCTGTTATGTTCCTGACCTCTGATGTCAGTGACCATAGAGGGAGGGAGGGAAACAGTTTTTGTTTCTTAGTGTTTATATTTCTAAGGAAATTCATAACAAACCATAAGGACTGTCAGCAGGGCTTAGCACTTCAAACCTTCTTGTAATAAGCACTGTCATGTTAGGAAACAGGGAGTCAGGAAACCCCCTCCAGAACATTCTCTCCCTTCTCCAGTGCAGCTTAAAGATACACAGTGGCCTTGCTGCTGTCATTCAGCCTCTTGGTCTCCCCTTCCCTCTCCCCTTTAGTACTTCAGTATCTGTCTTAGTCCTGGAAAGGATCAGCTCCTCCATGCATCTTGGTCTATCCAGTCATTGCCTTTTTTGGAAGGTTTTCTCCCCAGGGCTTTGTGGGCAGTTGGAATCAGACATAAGATAGGGAGTGCTGTGAGTAGGAGACTGCTTTCTGAGGGAGAAGGGTTGGGAGAGCCCTTGCAGGGGCAGCAAGAGGACTTTGGGCACCAAAACTCCACGAGCCCACAAGTTCTCCCCTCTGCCATTCTGTCCTTGGCCAGGGCTGGGAGCAGGGAGGGCATTTTCATCTCTCTTGGAGACTTGGAGGATCCATGATGTCCCCACTGGAATCTTTTGAGCCAAGAAGGTTAGGTCTTAGGCAGTGTTTCCCATTGCTGATGCCATTTATCCACCTCATACTTGTGAAGCTGAGCGGGAAAGAAGGAAGCTGCTGGCTTCCAGAAGCTTTTTTCCGCAGGGCCAGGAGAGTCCTCATGCTGTTTGTCTTAGTCTATTCAGGCTGCTATAACAAAAATACCATAGACCGGGTGGCTTGAGAACAAACGTTTATTTTCCACAGTTCTGGAGGCTGAGAAGTCCAAGATCGAGGTAGCAGCAAATTCTGTGTCATAGTGGTTGTCTTTTTGCTATGACATGGTGGAAGGGGCCGGGGAGCTCTCTCTGGGACCTCTTTTCTAAGGGCACCAACCCCATCATGAGGGCTCCACCTCAAGACCTAATTACCTCCCAATGCCCTACCTCCTAATACCTTGGCGGTTAGGGTTTAACATCTGAATTCTGGGGGGTACAGACATTCGGTCTATAGCACTGTTGGTCTTCATGTTCCCACCCACCTGGGGAAGATTTTCAGGCTATCATATAAGGGCTGGGCACGAGAGAGAGAGAGACTTTGAGTATCAGGAGGGGTTTTAGGCTATGGAGTCCTGATTTTCTGAGCATGGATGGATCCTTGTGGCCAAATCCCTCCCCTGGAAATATGACTATCAGTCACCTGCAGGGGCTAAGGAGGCAGAACGTTATCTGTCCTTCCCATAACTTCCACATCCCCATCTTGCCTTCTCTTCCCTAACTGGGCATTCTCAGGTGTGGTCTTTGTGGGGCCATTGCTTGCATACTTCTGTTTCTCTGCCTTGATTCTCACTCTACATAGCATTTAACACAAACTGTCATTTTATGAGGATCATTTCAGTCAAACAATCTGGTTAGCACCTCACTTCTGCCATTCTTAGCGCTGGAACTTTAGGCAAGTTACTTAACTTCGGGCACCTGGGTGGCTCAGTTGGTTAAGCGACTGCCTTCAGCTCAGGTCATGATCCTGGAGTCCCGGGATCGAGTCCCACATCGGGCTCCCTGCTCGGCAGGGAGTCTGCTTCTCCCTCTGACCCTCTTCCCTCTCGTGCTCTCTCTCTCACTCTTTCTCTCAAATAAATAAATAAAGTCTTTAAAAAAAAAAAAAAAAAAAGTTACTTAACTTCTCCAAGCCTTAGATTTCTTTCTTGTAAGATGGACTTCCTCATTTGTGAAGCCTCCAAGCCTCAGGTTTTTCACTTGTAAAATAATAATAATAGTTCCAGCATGAGAGAACCGAAAGCGGGAGGGTTGCAGGAATCCACATAAGGCACTTTTCCACAGAGCCTGACGTGCAGTGAGTTTTCAATAAATGTTAACACCAGTTTTGGGGCGCCTGGGTGGCTCAGCTGGTTAAGTGTCTGCCTTTGGCTCAGGTCATGATCCTGGGGTCCTGGGATCGAGCCCCGCATCGGGCTCCCAGCTCAGTGGGGAGTCTGCTTCTCCCTCTGCCCCTCCCCCTGCTCATGTGCTCTTTCTCTCTCTTGCTCTGCACTCTCTCTCTCTCAAATAAATAAATAAAATCTTAAAAAAAAAAAAGTCCACCAGTTTTCCTGGGATATTGGTATGGGTTATTCAGCTGACTTCTGGAAATGGTTGTGAGAAGGGGTAGGTAGGGATGGAGGCGAAGATTGAGACCTTGAAGGCCTAAATATTGTGAAACGGGCCCAGGGAAGAGTTTCCCAGCTTTCTGGCCAGTGCCCCCCAACCTGGAAAGGAAGGAACTCTCATGGACTTGTGCCCACACAGTGCTGGCTCAACGTCCTTGATGTCAGAGCGGGGAAGGGCTGAAAATGCCATGTCACCTTAACCCCCTTACCCAACAGGTGAGAGAACTGAGGCTCCGGGGGGTGAAGTGATGAGTCTGAGGGCACAAGGCTAGCTGGTGGTGGACCCAGGATGGAGCCTGTTTCCAGATTTCTTTCCAGTGCAGCATGCCTCCTACTCAGTACTCAGGTGTAGACACACACAGAGCTCCGGAGAACCGTGAGATATACACCAGGGTGTTTGGAAGGGCCTCCATATGTCCACGGTGGGAGAGGAAGCTTAAAGTGAAGTGATAGGATAGGCTCTGGTCAGTACTTGGCATCATGGGAATTGCCCAAGCTTGTGCAGTTTATTCATAACGAACTTATCCAGGAGCTATTTATAGAGCATCTCCTAACAATAGCTTTTATTTATTGAGCACTTATCCTGCAGCAGGCGCTATACTATACTATGGGTTTTATGTGCCTTGTCTTGGGGTGCCTGGGTGGCCCCGTCAGCTGAGTGGCCGGCTTCTGATTTTGGCTCAGGTCATGATCTCAGGGTCCTGGGATGAAGCCCTGAACTGCGCTTAGCGGGGAGTCTGCTGGAGGTTCTCTCCCTCTGCCCCTCCCCCCCACTCTCTCTCTTTCTCTAAAATAATAAATAAATAAATCTTTATATGCGTTGTCTTATTTAGTCCTGCATAATGTCCCTGTGAGTGTGGGCTTTTATTATCTTCATGTTATAGCTGAGGAAGCTTCGATGACATGCCCCAGGAACCAGCTAGCAAGAGGCAATGCTGAGATGTGGTCTCTGCCAGTCTGCTCCTATGCTCTTAGGTCCAGCTCTGCTGCCTCCCAGTCCTTGCTCCCCCTCCCACCTTTGTGGTGACTCCTGGGGTGGGTGCTGGGAAGAGAGAGGGGACAGCCCCTGCCCTCAGGAATCTCACACCCCAGCCAGTGCTTAACATAGTGGCTTCCAACCTGTTTGACCCTGACCTAGAGAACGAAATACACTGTATATCTGCATGTATTATATCCAACTCAGAATATATGAATGTTTCACGAAACAGTATTTACTTTTACTATTTATATGTGTTAATACTTTCTATTCTGTTCAGTTGCATTTTATTGAATAAATTGGTGGCTGAGACCCTCTACACTGATTTTGGGGACTCACATGCAGGTTGCATTTCAGTTTGAAAACTGCTGGTCTAACGGGCATCTTACAATACTGACCCTCTTCCTAACTACCAATCCATGAACAGGCACTCGCCCACCCTTTCTGGTGCCTCAGTTTCCCCCTTCTGTACAATGGGCTATCGTAGGAGGGACCACCTGAGTTCACTTTTGCTGATTTAGCTCCAGAGGGCGGGCTGGGTGGGCGTGAGGCTGTTGGGAGCCGGCCAAGCCCACAGGAGGCAGAGAGCCACATAGCTCCAACCACAGGGCTTCACCTGGGGCTCCTGTCTTACAGGCCCTGCCTCTGGGCACTCCCCGCTGTAATCTGAAGGAGAATCTGCTGAAGGATAACTGTGCCTTGGAGTCCATCGAGTTCCCCATCAGTGAGGCCCACATCCTGGAGGCCAGACCCCTCAGCGACAAGGGCTCTGGAGACAGCTACCAGATTACTCAAGTCAGCCCTCAGAGGATTGCACTCCGGCTACGGCCAGGTAGGGAGGGGCCTCTTTTCAGAGACAGACCCTGGACACATGGGCACAGGGCACAAGGTGGAGGCCTGAACCTTGGGGATGTAGCTTGCAATGGAAATGAGGTGGGAAGAGAAGGATGTCAGGGGCAGTGTGGGCCGGAGAATGCAGGAAAATGGGAGGTAGTGGAACCCGAAATCAGAAGATCTGAGTTTGAACTTTAACTGTCCCATAGATTAGCTGTTTGACCTTGGGCAAGTTACTTAGTCCTTCTAACATAGTAAGAACTCAGCAAAATGTTTATTACTTCTTTCCCCCAATGCCTGTTTTACCTAAACTGGTAGCTTTGTGTTGAGGCTTGAATGAGATAAAAGATGAGAAAGCAATTTATAATTGTAAGCCCCCTTTCCAGGTGAGTTTGGGGCAGGGGCACAGGGGCAGAGAGAATATAGGGTCAGGAGACCTTCAAGGCAGGAAGGATTAGGCTATGGGACAGGCTTTTTGAAGCTTTGATTTAGACTTTCCAATTATATCAAGAAGATTTAACCAAGTCCCTTCCTTGGGCAAAGCATCTGTTGGGAGCTATGGGATTCAGAGAAGGATGGGACAGAGTTCCTGCCTTTTACTTCCTGCGTCTGATGTGCAGTGACTGCCAAACCTCTCTGACTCTTGGGACCCAGAGAGTTAGACAGATAGGCATTTAGAAAGGGTGGAGAATTTTAGAATACAAAAAAAAAAAAAAGAGGTTAATAATAGAGGATCAAACAATTGGAAGAGGAATAGAATGGCAAAGGGAGAGGAGAAGGAACCAGGGCTTTCAAGTTTGATTTGATCAAGAAGTTACTTCATCTCAACTGTGTCCAAATCCACTTATGAAGTCTTAGAGGGAGAAAAAGGAGAAAAACTAACATCCTCTTGGCTTCCAGATGATTCAAAGAATTTCTCCATCCAAGTCCGGCAAGTGGAGGATTACCCTGTGGACATCTACTACTTGATGGACCTGTCTTACTCCATGAAGGATGATCTGTCGAGTATCCAGAACCTAGGCACCAAGCTGGCCTCCCAGATGCACAAGCTCACCAGTAACTTGCGGATTGGCTTTGGGGCTTTCGTGGACAAGCCCGTGTCACCATACATGTACATCTCCCCACCAGAGGCCCTCAAAAACCCCTGCTATGAGTAAGTCCCTCCTGTAGAAGCCAGGGCAGCATCCCTCCCCTTTGTCTCAGGCAGGTCCAAGTTCTGCTTCCTGTTTCTAGCTCTAAGATAGCTTCGTTGTGGCCATCTGGCCAAATCACATCTTCTTTCTACCTTGGGCTTCCTGTCTGGCAAGTGAGCTGGCCTGTGGAGCTGGAGTGTTGTGTCAATAGAATCCAAGGCTGTTTGGAATGTTAGTAATTGCCAAAACCTCTATGACCCTTGGGACCCAGAGGATTAGACAGATGGGCATTTAGAAAGGGTGGAGAATTTCCAGAAAGAAAACTAATCACCTTCTTGGTCTTGATCACAAATAAGTAGGAGATAAGAGAGAATGGGAGGGAAATGAGATAAAAAGTAGAGAGAAATTTATGGATAAGTAAATAGAGGAATTATGATTTCAGAAGGATTGATTCCATTGTCCTCCTCATCACCCAGAGTATGAGACCTACAGAGCTAAAATGCAAGGGATTATGTCCTAGAGGAATATAAAAAGAGTAGAAATGATATTTATCGAACCTTCTAATAAATTCAAAGATTGTTAAGTATGCCTCTGTTGACACTTTGGCTTACAACTGAATGAATGGCTTATTTATTTAATTGGTGGAGACTATAAAAATCCACGGAGTATAATAATTTAAAATGATGGTTATTGAGCCTGACAATATACAAATTTACTTTTTAGTTTTCAAAATTATATGATATACCCTTTCAACCTGTCTGAGTTGTAAAGTTTCCCCAGTAAAAGTGTCAGCCATCAATTAAACAAGCCACTGGGCTGGGGACAGAAATGCTCCTGTCCAGCACAGATCTATCAATTTGTTGATGGTTCATGGACATTAAGTTATTGATGAACTTTTGCTTTATCATTGTTTTAATGTTACTTTAGAGAAGTGTTAAGCTTAAGGTGATAGCAACAACTAGAGTCTCACTCTGACGTTAATGCTTTTCATGGAATTAACTCATTTAAGCCTCAGACAGCTCTTATGAGAGATGACCAATCATGTCCTCATTTTTATTGAGAAGCTTGCCTATAGTCCCATGATTAGGAGCTGGGACTTGAACCCAGGCAGTCTGGTTCCACAGCTCACTGTCTTATCTTCTAGGCTAGCTGGAGGGAAAGCCAATGTGACAGGACGGGTTTGGAGTCTGGACTGTCTGGGTAATTGTGGTTGTATAGCATATGCCCGGGCAGTGGGCTATCCATGTTTGTCTCTCCCTCTGTCCCTCTCACTCTCCATGTGGCCTTTTCCATCAGGGTATCTGCTTAAATTATCCCCCTCCCTCCCTAGTATGAAGACCACCTGTTTGCCTATGTTTGGCTACAAACATGTGCTGACGCTAACTGACCAGGTGACCCGCTTCAATGAAGAAGTGAAGAAGCAGAGTGTGTCGCGGAACCGGGATGCCCCAGAGGGTGGCTTTGATGCCATCATGCAGGCTACAGTCTGTGATGTGAGTTTGGAGGGCACGGAGCACTTGGTGTGGTTAGCATAGATTATAATGGGGGAAGGAAATGGTTCAACTGTGGGGATTTGTGTGTGAAATAAGAGGAACTAAGCCAAGTTTTGTACAGTATGAGCAATATGTTTCTCCTGATATGCAACCTTTGTTCGTATCACCCCCTGGCCAGAGCTGACATTTTTTGAACCTCAGTGATCCCAGATGTTTTCTGGGGAGCATCACCTGCCTTCTCTGGAAGTGTATCAGAGTCAAGGCTGGGTTGACTTAACCTTAGCAAAGTGGGCAGATGTTCAGATGGGATTTCTTTAGCCCCGCCCAGCTCTGCACGTGCAGGCGGGTTTCTAGACAGGCCGTGTGATTATTGTTGGAAAAGTTCTATTTGGAGTTGAAGTAGGTGTCTTTCAGAGGCTTGAAATAATCAGCTGAGACTCCTTTCCTAAGAGAACGGAAACCCTCGAATTGGAAAAGCTCCAGCTTGTGTTCCAAGGACTGGGGCTGAAGCCATTCTACACGATGACTTATTCAGCCCTTCAGGCGTGGAAGTCCTTGGGTCTTTGTCTTCTACCAATGACAAGGCTAAAGTTGCTTTCCCTCTTTTGCTTTTTTTTTTTTTAAACAGGAGAAGATTGGCTGGAGGAACGATGCATCCCACTTGCTGGTGTTTACCACTGATGCCAAGACCCATATAGCGCTGGATGGAAGGCTGGCAGGCATTGTCCAGCCCAATGATGGGCAGTGTCACGTTGGCAGTGACAACCATTACTCTGCCTCCACTACCATGGTGAGATTCTTGGTACCACCTGTGGTCCTAATTCACGATGGCCAGGGCTGCCCTAACCCAGACAGAGCCTTTGTGTGACTATGAAAATGGCAGCCCTTCCCCAGGGCAGGGTGCGGGGCTTGTTTCAGCCTGTCCTCCCACTGCCTTCCATACCAGCTGGATGCTGTCATCCAGGGGACAGACGGCACAGCCATTATAAGTGGTCCTGGCTGCGGTCATTTTGGCCGCCCCCTCCACTGCCTCCAGCAGCAGCATGGCATCCAGAATGGACCCGAAGGACTTTTGCAGGTCCAGCTGGAAAGCAGGCCTGCCTGTCTCCTCTGTACAGATTAGCCTCTTCTTGGAACACCATGCTCACTGGTGGTTATTGGAAGAAGACAGAGGAAAAAGAGACACAGATCATCAAAAGAGCAGAGATCTGTTCCTGTGGGGAAAGGTTGAAGGGCTCCGAGTCACTTAGCTTCAAAGAAAGAAGTTTAGCTGATACCTGAGAAGACTTCTGATAAATTGTTTTCTATGGCCTTGGAGGGTCAAATAAGAGGGAGGGAGTTTAATTGCTGTAAGCCATAAAGAAATGTAAGACCCTCAGAATACTGATACCCTGGGTATCCGGAGGTAGGTGTGAACTCTTTGTCTCTTAAAGACAATACAGCAACTCCTTGTCTAGGCAGCTTAATGGTACACCTGTGTAAAGGCAGGAGTCTGAACTGGGTAATCTCATGAGCTCCCTGCAAGGTCTAGGATCCCAGGGACATGTTCACAGTTCACCAGCATCCCCATCGTGGCTTGAGTTCCTTGGTGTCAGCCATGTCCAAGTCGGGCACTGCCAGGCATTGGGTGAGTCAGTGGTAATCACTGATACCTAATCTAGGCAAGACACCTTACCAGGGGCTGAGGGAGATAAAGGGACTATGTAAGGTCCTCCCCTTTTTAGTTTAGTTGAGGAGATGTGCTACCAGGAATACACGATGCGTGGTTAATGCTAAAGGGGTAGCAGAGTCAATAAGGGCTTTTGGGATTCAAAGGAGGAAAGCTTATCATGAACTAGGGATGGTCAGGGAAGACCTCCCAGAGAAGGTGGGACCTGATCTGGGTCCTAAGGAAGGAGGAGGATTGGCAAAAAGAAGGCCACTCCATGGGGGAGAAAGAGCGGGCTGGCTCAGTGGTAGGTGGAAGAGGAAGACATGTGAATGCTGGTTGGCAAGGAAGGCTGAGACCACCACATGCTGGTGCACCACGAGGATGCACATGCCAGGCCGAGGCATTTGTCAGTAGCTACAAAATGAGGAAACTTCACAATGAGGCCTGACACCTATGGGACGGTGAGCAAGGCGTAGGAAGACTCCAAGTTCCGCTTTGCCGCTCCCTCCTTACTTCCTGCTCCTCACCCAGCCCTCTCTCCTCTGAGTCCCAACATCACCTTGTGATGCCACTCTTTGGATCTTCGCTTTGTTTTGTAGTTATATGTACCTGTCTTCAGCTCCAGACCATGAGCTCCTTGGCAGCAGAGACTATAATATATTTGTCATTCAATAAATGTTTGTTAAATGAGTTAATGGAAAACAAAATGAGGCCTGACAGTACCTGGCTCATGGAAGCTGCTCCTTGGTATGAATGCATTGAAGTCTAGTGGGAAGAAAGAGATGCTTGGTTTTGACACCACCAGCCTTTGCCTCTTCATCTATCCCTGGAGTTCACAACTGGGTTTGTGTCGCTACTTACTCCCTTGCCTCACATTGATCATGGGGTGGAAAGGTGTAAACACCATCACTGTCTGGGCCATGGCCCAAATCAGCCAAGTTCTAAGGTGTAGAATCCAGGGATGCATGTGAATAGAGGTGAATTCTTAACCAACCTCCATGTCCTCCCTTTTTACAGGATTATCCCTCTCTGGGGCTGATGACCGAGAAGCTATCCCAGAAAAACATCAATTTGATCTTTGCAGTAACTGCAAATGTAGTCAATCTCTACCAGGTGACTATGCCCCCAGGGCTGCCTGGAGTGGGGCCTGTGATGATGGGTGGACCTATCTTGGGGACCCAGCATGCACTACTATGGACCAATATTCTCAACCAGAAAAGACACTCCTCCAACTTGTTCCCAGGAGCTGATGATTCCTTTTTATGGTTTCTCTCCTCCAACCTTGAACCTAGGAGGATGGGTGGGTGTTGGTGTTTGCAGAGCCAGAGGGGAGCCATTAGTGGGGGTGAAGGGTGTGAGAGGTTCTTTAGAATTTTATTCAGGGCTGAAAAACTGCTAGGTTTATTACTGGCAGTAACAAGTAAAACATCCCTTGGTTCCCTCAATCTTCATTTCAAGACCCTCAGTCTGATTTGGGGAGGGCCTTTGGAGACCACCATCTTCCTTCAGTCAGCCTTGCACATCTTTGTCTTCCTAGAACTACAGTGAGCTCATCCCAGGGACCACAGTGGGGATTCTGTCTACCGATTCCAGCAATGTCCTTCAGCTCATCGTTGATGCATATGGAGTAAGTGTCTTGCGCTGGAAATGGGCCTGCTAAGAATCCTCCTCACTTGGCATGACCCAGGAGGGCTCAGATTTGGGAGTCCTGGATGCTAGTCCACCATGCAGCCTTCACTGCCATCCTCTTATTCTTCTAGAGGCTCGCTGATGGCCAGCACTGGGAGGAGTGCAGCCTTCTGAGAGAGAAATGGCTCAGAAAGGAATGCCTGGGATTGTTAGGAGCAATGGGTAAAGAGCTTAGAGGAGGTGGAAGGGAAAGAGAGGATGGGGATGGTGATGAGGAAGGAGCAGAGTCCTGAAATTGGAGGAAGGACAGGGTGAGGGACAGGGCTCCAACAGCAGAGAGAAGAGGGACCTGAGCCATGGGGAAGGTGAGGTTGGTTAAAAATTAGGTAAAAAAGGCTACTCTCCAAGGGGACCAGTACTGGCACTCCCTTTTTGTACATCCATGAGGCTTGCAGGAGGGTGTAGCTGGTTTAGATTTTACCCAGACTCACCCAGACACTAGTGGGGACAGAGATTGAGAGAGAGAGAGAGAGAGAGAGAGGAGCAGGTCTTGCAGGAAATACAGTAAGAAGCAGGTTCCTAGGGCTGCTTCCCTCTGGCAGCTTCTAGGCGAACCTCGGCATCTGGCACTGCTGGGGTGAGTCCAGGGCCCCCGATAGAATTTGCTTGGGATGGAATTGGTTCCTCTCCACTTCCTCTCAGCTCATCCCCTTACTTTCTTTTGCCCCTTTCTGCTTAGAAAATCCGCTCTAAAGTAGAGCTGGAAGTGCGTGACCTCCCTGAGGAGTTGTCTCTGTCCTTCAACGCCACCTGTCTCAACAACGAGGTCATCCCAGGCCTCAAGTCTTGTGTCGGACTCAAGATTGGAGACACGGTGAGGTGGGCTGAGCTGGGCAGGGTCTGTACCCCCAAGTGTCTGTGGACACCCCTCCCCTCCCTTCCTTGTACCTTCTTCCTGAAGGTCATGAGAGGTTAGAGATCATGGAGCTGCCCACCTTTTCCTCTGAGGCTCCTGTTGTCTAAACTTCTCTGTTACGTAAACTTCACCATCAGGATTTTTTTTAAAAACATGCATGTAGGTTTCCTCTGTTTGCGTATGCATAGTTTATTGCAAATGAAAATATTTCTTACCTTCAGTCCCTAACCAGTCTCCAACCTCCCCCAAGGTAATGCCTTTCTTTCCTCTACAATGTAAAATGACAGTGTCATCTGTAAGTATTTACTGAGCACTGACTTCGTGGCAGGCATCATTCTAGCTGCTGAAGATTCAACAGCAGACGGAACAAGCAAAAAGACCAAACACCCACTCACATAGACTTGCGGAATGCAAACGTTCATTTTGCTCCTCCAGTCCCTCTATGGCCTCTGCAGCTTTCTTTCCTTAGTGGTTGGTTCTCTTCTGCTTCTGCCTAAAGGGGAAGGGCTGGTGAGAGGGAGGGAAGCAGAAAGGGGGAGAGCTATATCTGTATCATCTGTATCTACAGCATCTGTATATCCATCTCTATCGCTCTGTCCGTATGTCTGTCTATCTATATTCTAGAACAGGTGCACATACCCTATCCAAGAAATATTGGCTGGAAAGGTATATGATGACACAAGTGATGAAATATTCATGGAAATTAAACAGTAGATCCTGAGCCTGTGGTTGGGCACTGTGTGGGGTTGTGTGGTGCAAAATAGTGCTTTGTGTGTCTTGCTACAAAGACATATGACATTGTGTAATCAGTCCAGCTAGCTTAGTTGGCCAGAGCAGAATGTTTATAAGATCACAGGTTCTGTTCTGCTTGAGCTGACTTATTTCCTATGGGGAATTAAAAAACCCCAACATATCTCATGACTAAATTACATCTGTGCACCCAGCCAGATATAACAGGAGAACTGTCCCCAGGCTCTTCTTTTTGCTTTGCAGCCCTGGGTCATGGGGAGGCTGAGGAACTCCAGGTTGCTGGGGCGTTAGGCCCCCCAGTTTGGCTACTCCCTGGGCAGGGCAGGGCAGGGCAGGGCCCAGCTTCTTTCCCTCCAGGGCTGGAATGTTAAAAGGGTCCAGGTCCACCCACGTCTGAATGCGGTCCTACTCTCCTCCCAGGTGAGCTTCAGCATTGAGGCCAAGGTGCGTGGCTGCCCACAGGAGAAGGAGAAGTCCTTCACCATCAAGCCTGTAGGCTTCAAAGACAGCCTCACGGTCCAGGTCACCTTTGACTGTGACTGTGAATGCCAGGCCCAGGCCGAGACTTCCAGCGACCGCTGCAACCATGGCAATGGGACGTTTGAGTGCGGGGTGTGCCTCTGCGGGCCTGGCTGGCTGGGGTCCCAGTGTGAGTGCTCGGAGGAGGACTACCGCCCCTCCCAGCAGGACGAGTGCAGCCCCCAGGAGGGCCAGCCCGCCTGTAGCCAGCGGGGCGAGTGCCTGTGCGGCCAGTGCGTCTGCCACAGCAGCGACTTTGGCAAGATCACGGGCAAGTACTGCGAGTGTGATGACTTCTCCTGTGTCCGCTACAAGGGGGAAATGTGCTCGGGTGAGTAGAGCTGCACACGTTCCCGTCCCTGTCCCCACGCGCGCTCGTGCATCTGTGGCCTCTGGAAAGTTCAGGGCTCGGGTGGGCACGGGAAGGCCGGGCAGGCAGAGCCAAGTGGATGGTGTTGATGGTGCTCCACTCCCACGGCGGGAAGCAGAAGGAGGTTCTCTTTAATCCCTCCCAGCTCCCCAAGTCCTTGCTCTTGGGGTACACACAGAAACGTAAGTGAGCTTGGACTCCGAGGGACTCCCCTCCTAGAATAGCTTGGGGTGGAGTGGGGACACTCGAAGGTGAAGGCAGGTTTCTTCTTTTCTTTCACCTGCCCTTCTGCTAATACTTTCAGTCACTGGTTCCTAATCCTTTCGAGGATAGGGACCAACCCCTTATATTTAGGTAAAAAAAAAAAAAATCACTGACTGATGGTAATTAGATTTTTGGTAATTACCAAAATCGGGAGAGAGAGATCAGGTACACACTGACAGGTTTGGAAAATATATGATATCAGACTATCTAGCAAAGTTAGCAATATTTGTTTTACATGAATTTGTCTTTTCATCATAAGACTTGGACAATAGTAAAAAAGCAAGACGATGGAGCACATTTAAGAAGCCCAGACACTTGGAATGATGGCGGGAAAATTGTAAGCTCTGATGATATGTCGGCACTATTTTGTTTTCACTCTTGGCACTACTGTCCCAGATCTGTGCTGTCAAGTATAGTAGCCACATGTGGCTATTTAAATTTAAATTCATCAAATGAAATTATAACTTAAGCAAAATTTAAATAAATTTAAATGGAATGAAAAATGAAAACGTCAGTTCCTCTTTTGCGCAGGAACCACATGTGGCGAGTGGCCGGCTCGCTGGACAGCACATAAATTAGAAAGCATTGCCAGAAGTTCTAGCCACAGCAATCAGACAACAAAAAGAAATCAAAGGCATCCAAATCGGCAAAGAGGAAGTCAAACTCTCACTCTTTGCAGATGATA